TGACTGACTGACTGTTTGACTGAATGACTGACTGTTTGACTGACTGACTGACTTAATGAATGAATGAATGAACATAGTGTTATGAGCTAAAGGCATTGCAGGTTGCTGTGTTGTACACAACAAGGGGATCTTAGTAACAGCTTTTGGATGAGGTAGACTGTGGAGACATAATTTTTGGCACAACATTCAAGATACATGCTCATGTACTCTTGAAAAATATGCCTTGGAGTTGTGAGAAAATTTGCCGGAAGGATGTTACGCTATGCAAAGGCATTACCAAATGCTGCAATCTGTTTTGAAAAGTAGAACTGACTAAATACTTCACGTAATGCTATGCACAGCAAAAATGAAATTGTGAGAAAATCCCTGTTACACTTTGCAAACTTTCCAGCAACTTGTCTCGCAATAGCATCAAAAGATGGCATAACACATAACGTATCATAACATATATCAAGAAGCTAACTTTTATTGATACAAGCAAAAAAAGAAAAGGCCGTCCAATAAAAACATTAATAAGAACAATCTACCAAAGATTTCAAGAATATCAACCATCACAGATTTTGAAAGAATGTTTTAGACACAACCACAATAGCTTGGCTTCAAAGTAGTTCAACTTACTCGAGTAGAGTGAGAGCTGAATGTTTCTCTAGGAGCATCGCGCGGTAGCGTTGTTGTGTGTTCCGTGTGTTCCGCTAGGATTCTGAAAGGGGTACCCTGTTTATGACAAAAAAAAATCAAATTTGACCCTGACTAACACATGGCTGATGATTACATCGAACGAATCCAAAAACGTAACCTTTCGATTATCTGTGGTCCTGATCTATCTTACAGTGAAATACTAACTGCTTCGTGCTTATCGACCCTGGCCACCCTTCGACAGGCCGTATTAGTGTGAGAAACTATTCACGAACATTACTCAAGATCCTAGCCACAAACTGCATTGTCTGCTCCCTGAATTCAACGTAAACTATAGATATTCATTAAGGAAAAAACGCCTCTTCATAGAACGTCGCTATGTTATAGGTTTCCCATGCATCGCGCTTGGTAATTGCATGAAAAATTTTTTTCCTATATTTGAAAAATAAAACGAGTAAAAAGGTCCAGCAATTAGTTGTTTGTGAAATTTGTATCAATTAATTATTATTTTCTTAAAAATCAAACCAGTCTCAGTTAAAGTGGCACGATGCTGGAGGCGATGCATTTGACCTCTTGGCCACTGCTTTTTATGAGCTCAGTGACTGATAATTTGTTGTGAAGGAAATAAACCTGTTTACAGCTTTACCGGCATCCTTGATCTCTTGTCTTGATCTACATGTACATTAGCAAATTCACTGAGTTTGTCATTCGCAATATTAGAGTTTTAGATRTTATGACTGTCTATTGGACCGTTGCTCAAGTACTTGTTGCCTTAGTTACTGATCGAAAAAGACAAAACTTGGGACTAAAAAAGGAAAGGGGGTCTGCAATCTAAATGGGAATTGAAACTGATTAATTTATATCAACCCACCATCCCCCCCACCCAACACACACCCGCGCATATATTTGCACTACTGAGAATCCCGTTTGTTCATCGCGATTCTTATCAACCTAGACAGGTTAATTAATCACGAACAGCTTTGCTCAAGTCGTTGAAAGKGGAACAACTATAGACATTCTTGCTACAAAAAGCGGGATTATTATTTGTTTGCAAAATTTATCTAATGATCGGGGATAGAGATCAGAGGCTGCTTGTTCAAAGCCTGTTAGCCCCAATCAATTTTCCTAGTAAATTGGCGATTGCAAATTGCCGTAAGTTTATAGGATAAATGTCTAAAATGAGGGCGCGTCGAATAAACTGATACTGTATGATAATTTTCTATTTAGAATTTTTGCACACATTTCAAATTTTAGACTGAATACAACCCTATGTTGCTCATAAAACCGATCAGTATTTGATCCGGCCATCGACATAACTCCAAACACAGTTTAAACAGTCACAGGCCGTTAGCCCAAATTAGATCCTTTATTTCACCAACGCATGAACAATTTTGATCGTAATCAAAATTTAACACACTAATAGCCCGTTAATTATTTAAAAATACTAACTTTAAATTAACCAATTAGACAGACGAAAATGGTTCTACAACTTTTAGCTTTAATTTAGATTTTGTTTTCGGGCAAACCGACAACCTTGTTTATAGCCTTGCTTGTTAGTGATGTCCAAGCTTTGATGGTGCAGCCTCACAGTACCTCGCCACTGCTGATTCGTACTGTTCATAAAACTTGCCTGGTTCTGCCTTTAGTATCTCAATGCGATGGTCTCCAAAATGAAATTCTGGCATTTTAACTGCATTGGCTGGCTTTCTGGACCTAACGACATTGTACAATTAAAAGATGGGTCTAGACACTTTAAATTGAAATAAATGTTTGCAAACAACAAATAAAAATCTGTAAAAAAAACACAGACGAAAACCGCACTTAGATATATGCATTTTAAGTGATTGCTAATTGTTAGGTACTAATTGCGCGGGCTGATAGTCAAAACTTTGCATGAATACGTTGGTATTCAGACAAGCAATCTCATCTTATTTAGTCTCTTATGTGTCAGTAAATCTAAACCTTTTCGTTTGGTATTTTACCAAACAACATGCATTACCTGTAGGTAGTTCGCAGATGGCTCGTCAAATGGTTACCATCAGTGCATTTCAGGGCCATCAAAGACTGCCCACAAAGGACACCGTCACGTGGATAAAGCATCTCTACGCATGGTTCCCATCCTGCTGTTTTCCTCTGCATCACGGGACCATTGGCAGGGAAGTTGGCACCGATGACATTAACCTTGAAAATAAAGTTATTTCCCTGCAAGCTTAAATTAAAGAGAAAAAAAGAAATTTATTCAGCTTTTCTATAGTTTAATTGAGGGGCTACTTGTGTTGAGCAAGTAATTATCCAAAGGGAACTCATTGCTATATCACACTGTAAATATAGTTCATTACCAAATCGTAAAAAGAGCACGCCCTCTACTATACCTTGTGTCCTGGTGAATGGTAAGATAGCCTCCATCCTCGAAGATTTGGGTTCTTTCCCAAGTGAAGCCTTCAGGAAAAGACTCCTTGAAGTAATCTGAAATCCCTGAGACATGCTTGATGAAGGTTTTACTTCCATACATGCAACAAGGTGCCAAAATATCGTACGCAAATGGTAAGGGACCTCCTTCAGTGATTCTTATCTTTTCCACCTRGGTACCTCTAAATATGAAAATCAATAAAAACCCATGAATTTGGTTAATGGCTTTTATCTGTACCCTACATTTCGAACTCACTTGAAGTTAGAATACATTTTAGAACTAAGAAGAGACTGCTGTCATGTTAAAGGCGTGTTCCGGCAACATACATCCAGACGGAATTGACC